ATTATACAGTAGTCGAATGCATAAATATTCTATATTTTCTCGAGACTCATTTCGAGAACTATGTCATAAACATATTGAATGATCTAAATGAATATAAAAAATAGTTAAACGTACATCAAATGTGTGTGTTAAACAATGCTTATAACTTGTCTTTCTTCTTTAAAAAAATCAATTATTTATTAATGCTTATTAATTTTTTGCGACAATTTTTATAAAAAAATATTATGTAGTATGACGTCAACTATTTTTTTTTTTGGACGTAAAAATTCAAATCGGGCAAAATAGCAGCACCACACACGCGTAGGAAAATCATTAGTAGTGATTTTAGGCGTGAAATGGAATATTCAAGGGTAAACTAGGGAAACACAAGTAGTAGGGAGTAGTGATAGATATATATAGTAGTGAAGAGTCAACAATTATGGGTAGGGAAAAATCCATATTATCATTTTTGTTGTAAAGCTTCATAAATGAATAGTAAATGGGGAATTGTTTCTTTTAATATAGTAGGGAGATAGTAGGAATTTGTTGTTTGGAAATGAGCAGTCAAATTAAGGGTAAGATGGGAAAAGAAAATGCTTCCTGAATGAATAGTACAAGCATGATTCCCTATTTTAAGAGAGTAGAGATTATACTTTGTTTATTTTAAATCTTAAATTAAATATTAATAAAACAAAAAAAAAATTGAAAGTTGGCAACGAGTTTGGCCGAGCCTGTGACATGAGATATTTTCACTAGCTGGCCCACGTGGCTCTTCAGCCCAAGCTCAAGCCTTGTCTCAATTCTATCGAGCCTCGAAACAAGCCAACTCAAGCTTTTTTGGGATCCAGACGCAGACCCTCTGAGTTGACGGGCTCATTTTCCAATCCTTAATTTTACCCCTCAACATCAATAACTAAATTATCCACAACATTATACAACTATAATGAAGAGTTCGTGCAAACCATACACAGTTACGCACACGCGAAAAAAAATATTTATATATATAAGAATGTGAATTCGGAGTTCATAAAAAGTCTACTAACTGGAAACCAATGTGATCATTTTACTTTAAGAAGCCCTAAAATATATTTTCCTGCTTCAGCACAAGAAAAAGGAGATTATAAGAGAAATTTTACCAAAAATGGTAAAAACGGAGACTCGAGTATAAAATCATGAAATAAATGATAGGCATATTTAGAGAGAAATTTATGCGAGAAATGAAAATGGGAAAATGAAAAGATAGGAGGGTGATATAGAGCATCTTCTCAAACATTTGATATTGAGGAAATATTTGATTTTTTGGGAATGTACACAAAAAACTAATGAAGTTTGAAAATAAATAAGAAAACAAAAAATAAGGATGCATTTTGTTTGCTATTTTTAGTTTTGCAAAATATCTTAAACTGGTTTGATCTTAGATTTCTAAAAATGAATTTTTGAAAATAAGGTAACCTTATAACATAAAACTCAAAAAGTATTTTTGAAGTTTTGAGTTGTTTCAGTGAAAATTCTAAAAATGTTCAAAACACGAAAAACAAGCCTTTAAACAAAATTTTATTTTAATAAAATTCTAAAAAAAAAAAATATCAAAAAAATTCAAAAAATAAAAAATGATAAATTCTAAAAAAATAATAATAAAAAACTAATTTTTTTGAAAAAAAAAAATAGAATCTAAAATTCTAAAAAAATAAAACTCTAAAAACTAAACAACAAAAAATTTTGAAAAAATAAATTATAGAAAAACAAAAATAATTAAAATTCTCAATGATTATTTATATAAAATTCTAAAAAAGATATTTAAGAGAACATATATAAAAATGATCTCAGTCCACATCACTGAGTTTTATCTTTATTTCATATAATTTGCTACCTCAATTTATTATTTGTTTTTATTTTACTATTATAAGATTCACTAATTTCAAATGTATATATCACTTAATAGTATATTAATATAAAATTCTTCAATTTTATTGAATAATCAAATTTCATGAAATAAAATGTCATATAACAATTTTTCAAAATCTCAAATTAAACATGTTTTCCAGTTTCCTGTTTTGGGAACCAATTTTCAAAATTACAAACCAAAAACTCTTTTAACAATCTTAAAACAAATCCTCAAATCGAAAAACTAAAAATAAACTCAAAATTCAAAACTAAACAGGCGGCTTATGTTTTCCAATGCAACATACTAGTCGACATCCTTTTAACCCAGAACCAATCAACTGCGAAGCCCATTGAATTTTTATTTAAGGACAACTTCACAATTTGACATAAATGTAAACCGGTATTACAAGGATCACAATGTTGACCAAATAAAAGAAAATTTTATGAAAGTCTACTAACTATTGCCATTCATTATGTTTCAATTCATAGGTGAAATGAATGTATGACCATTATTTTTATTTTATTTTTTACCTTTTCCATTTCTGAAACCACAAAGAGGACTAATTAAACGCACATGGTTGCAAGAAAGTCCAAACTTTTGAAGTGTTTTAAAGATTGATCCGAACTATGTTTAAAGCAAAATTATATTATTAGAGGTCATTTTGAACATTCGCCGCCCTTACGTCCATATGATCGAAAGCAGATGGAAATAGATAACTTGGAGAAATCTAATTTCTTTTCGGTCTATCACCTCTATAGTTGTCAACAAAATAGATTATTTTTCAGACTGTCTTCTGCTTTAACTATAGAAGTATATTTTATTTTGAGCAAATTTCAAAAACTCTCTTGAGGTTATGAGACAATTCCCTCTTAAACTTCAAAAATCTCCCTTCACGGCATAAGCTTCTAATTGCGTCCTCCCCTCTTATGTTACACTTATATACATATGATTATATTTGCTTTCTTATTTTAAAAAAAAAATTAATTTAGACAAAAAATTGTTTTAATTTTAAAATATCAATTTTATCTTTTGTATCGAGTTTAAATCTTAATCATATTTTTGTGAATATAAATTAATAATATTTTTGTGAATGTTGATTTCTCATTTGATGGAAAATTGATGTAATACATTTAGTCCTTGTTTGGTGTAGATTAAATTTTAATAAAATTTTCAAATTAAACTTAGCAATTAATTTTAACCACACATTTCCTTGGATCAATTGTAACGCCCCAAAATCTATTTTTATAGTAATAAATTTTTTTATGTATAAATAAAATAGGCTTGAAGCATTATCAAAAATAACACTTTTCATAATTTAAGCAAAATCTACTTTTTATTCAAAATTTGAAATTTGTTTGATAAGTCAATAATTATAACCAACAATTTAAGTGAAAGGTTTTTCTCATCAAATAAAACTTTAAAGTATTGCGGTTTTATACTATCATTTCGAATTTAAAATAAAATGTCAAATGTTCAAACACAAGAAAAATCCATAAATTCAAGTTTAACATAGAACATCAATTTCTTGAACACAAAAGGAAAAAAACTACTAAATACTGTGCATAAAATTTAACATAAGGATATATATATATATAACTAACATGTGAACCAAAGCAATACTATAATTTACATGCAAACACGACTATGTGCCAACTTTGTCTTATTTTTCTAGGATGAGACAATTTGTCGTCCGTGTAAACCTAACACGCTCTTCCTTTGTAACTTCTCTTGGTAGTTAAACTTGTATGACATACATGTCATGACAAGAAAGAGTACCACATACATATCTGTCATTTTATTTAATTATTGTTCTTACAGGTGGTAACTAGATATGCAAAAGGCAATATTTGTAATGGGGAAGATTCATACGTGAAGATTAATAATGTTTGACAAGTATTTCAACTATTTGAATTTTTTCATAGAAAATAGAATTAAAAAGCATTATATATATATATATATATATATATATATATATTTTTTTTTTTTTTTTCAAATATAAATTGCAATTTATCATTTCTCGAAACTTTTACTTGACAACCCCATAAGCATCACTCGATTAATCCGCCACACATCCATACGACCCGTTCTAATATGAAAATTTAGTAAGAGTGAGTATTAATAAAAAAAAAAACCCTATAAGAAAAAAAATTGCATATTTTTATTAACATGAAATAATTACAAAAATGAAATTGCATACTGATATTTTTTAAATTTGGAGCAAACTGGTCGCGACATCCAAAAGTTTAAGAAATTTCATAAGAATTTTCTATATCTCGTAGGATTTACATACTTGACCAAACGGTCTATCCCGTAGGATTTAACAAAAAAATCAATCCAAAAGGCCTTAACGTATTTCATGCCAAAATCTATAAAAATATCAAGAAATGAGAATTAACCACTTGCACATTACTTACCTCAAATGATGCCAAAGAAATTCTGAAATAACTTGTGAAATAAAATGTTATTTCTTTTCAAGTGTGTGTGTAGACGTGTGAAATGCATGTTGGTAAAGGAAAGTTCTTCACATAGTTTATATATATATGATTATGAAATAAAATTCAAAACGTCCCAAGCAATTCAATGAATTGATTAATTTTCAATCAATCATGGTGGTTGTTTTATTGATGGGACTGTACAGTGGAAATGAGAGGTTACAAGTATTAAATTAAATGAATGGTTTGGTGGTGTTTGAAATTCCAGAAATGTAAGTCCTCAAATGATTATATATATATATATATGTAGGATTTAGAATATCTTTCTTCATATCAAGATAACTCGAATATAACTAGTCCAAAATTATTTCTTCTTGAGTCAATTTATGTTATTTAGCACGAGCTACAAATTGAGTAGAATATCAATATATTTTATCAACTTTTGGAATACTTAAATATTTGACCCAAATAACTTACGATAATTTCAAAAAGTATACGTATGCAAAATAAATCATTTATAGAAATAAGTGGGATGTGTTTATCACTTCAACTTTTGGACTTTAGTATGATGATAGTGTTAGACACAAATTAGTTTATTTACTAAATTACCAACATTGAATTTAGCCAACATGAAATTAAAATTTAAAATTCAAAGTGTTACATCCCTACCCCTTAAAATAATTTCATCCTCGAAACTACCTTATTTAGCCGAACAGCTCTGGATACTTGGCTTTTATTTCTTCTTCTTTTTCCCAAGTAGCCTCTTCGACTCCATGATTTTTCCATCGAACTTTAACCAAGGCAATTTCTTTATTTCTTAATGTATGTGTTCTCCTTTCGATAATCTCCAAAGGAGCCTCTTCATACGTTAGATCTTTCTGTACTTCCAAGCTTATCACATGCTCAAGATCATGCACATACTATCTAAGCATTGACATGTGGAATACATTATGTACTGTTGATAGTTTAGGTGGCAATTCTAGACGGTACATTACATTTCCAATTCAGTCTAGAATATCGAAAGGACCTATGAATTGAGGTCTCAGCTTTCCCTTCTTGCCAAATTTAAGAACTCCTTATATTGGTGCCACTTTTAGAAACACTTTCTCACCGACTTCAAATTCTATCAATTTTCTCTGTTGATCTGCATAGCTTTTTTGTCTATCTTGAACATACTTTATTCCGTCCCTAATTTTATCAATTGTTTGCACTGTCCTTGCAATAATCTCTGGACCCAAAATTCATTTTTCTATGACTTCATCCCAATGAACTAGGGATCTACATCTTCTATCATAAAGAGCTTCATAAGGAGCTGTGCCAATAGTAGCCTGGAAAGCTATTATTGTATGCAAACTCCACAAATGTTAGGTGTGACTCCCAACTACCTCCCAAATCCAAGACACATGCTTGGAGCATGTATTCTAAGATCTGAATAGTCCTATCAGATTGTCCATCAGATTGAAGATGATAGGCAGTACTAAAATTTAAGTTTGTGCCCTTAGTTCCCTGAATGCTCTTCCAAAATTTAGAAGAAACCTTGGGTCTCGATCTGAGACGATAGATGTTGGTTTTCCATGCAGCCTCACAATTTCTTTAACATATAATTAAGCAAATTGATCCATATTGTAGTTCATCCTTACTGGAAGAAAATGAGTTGACTTTGTCAACCTGTCCACAATTACCCAGATGGCATTGTTCGGAGATCTCGATACATTTTAGTACCACCGGGATGTACAGCATACGGGGCATAATTAGCTTCCTCTAATATTTCCTTTCTTATCCCTTCATCCTTTGGTACACATAATCTTCCCTTGAACATCAAAGTATTTTCCTCTGTTATTACAAAACCTTTTCTCTTAGTTGTACCAACTTACGCCTTAATTTTCCTCAAAAATAGATCTTTGTCTTGAGCATCCTTGATTCTACCCCTAAGGGTATGTTGTATCTTTAATGCTGAATTTTTTGTGAAAACTTGAGTTGATGGGATGACAACTTCCAATTTCAATTTATCAAACTCATTTATCAACTACACTTGAGTTGTGGGTAAGGCTTGTCCCACTATCTTCCTACTAGGAGCATCGACGACTATGTTAGCTTTACCTGGATGGTAATAGATAGTGCAATCATAATCCTTAACTAAGTCTAGCCACCTTTTCTGTAACATATTCAGATCCTTTTGAGTAAAGAAGTATTTCAAACTTTTATGAACTGTATAAATATCGCACTTTCCTCGTAGAGGTAATGACGCCATATCTTTAGAGCGTGTACTATTGCTGCCAACTCTAGATCATGTGTAGGGTAGTTTTGCTCATATTATTTTAATTATCTCGAGGCATATACGATCACCTTCCCAAACTGCATAAGTACACATTCCAAACCCTGTTTGGATGCATCACTTTATAGAACGAATCCATCTGAACCCTCTGGTATAGCTAAAATTGGAGCAGCAACCAGTTTCTGTTTCAGTTCTTGAAAGGTCTCCTCAAATTTCTCAATCCACTGAAACTTTACACCCTTTTTGGTAAATTGGGTCATTGGCCAGCTATTTTAGAAACTCCCTCAATGAATCTCTGATAATAACTAGCTAGTCCCAAGAAACTACGAACTTCACCTACATTTGTTGGTCTGGACCAGTTTGTTACCGCTTCCATTGTACTGAGGTCCACTTCAATTCCTTGTGCCGTAACCACATGTGTAGGGTGGTTTTGCTTATATTGTTTTAATTGTCTCAAGGCATATATGATCACCTTTCCAAAATGCATAAGTACACATCCTAAACCCCGTTTGGATACATCACTGTATAGAACAAATCCATCTGAACCCTCTAATATAGCTAAAACTGGATCTGCAACCAGTTTCTGTTTCAGTTCTTAAAAGGTCTCCTCACATTTCTCAATCCACTGAAAATTTACACCCTTTCTAGTTAATTAGGTCATTAGCCCAGCTAGTTTGGAGAATCCCTCGATGAATCTCTGATAATAACCGGCTAGTCCCAAGAAACTACGAACTTCACCTACATTCGTTGGTCTGGACCAGTTTGTTACCACTTCAACTGTACTAAGGTCTATTTTAATTCCTTGTGTTGTAACCACATGTGTAGGGTAGTTTTGCTTATATTGTTTTAATTGTCTTGAGGCATATGCGATCACCTTCCCAAACTGCATAAGTATACATCCCAAACCCTGTTTGGATGCATCATTGTATATAACGAATCTATCTGAACCCTCTGGTATAGCTAAAACTGGAGTGGCAACCAGTTTTTGTTTCAGTTCAGGCATTCTCACATTTCTCAGTCCACTGAAATTTTACACCCTTTCTGGTTAATTGGATCATTGGCCTAGCTATTTTGGAGAATCCCTCAATGAATCACCAATAATAATCGGCTAGTCCCAAGAAACTACAAATTTCACCTACATTCGTTGGTTTGGACCAGTTTTTTACTGCTTCAACTGTACAAGGGTCCACTTCATCCTTGTGCCATACCCAAATGACCAAGAAAAATTATACGATCAAGCCAAAATTCACATTTCTTGAATTTGGCCTTTTAACTTCTCCCTTCGTAGTGCTCCAACACTATTTTGAGTTGTTCTTCATGTTGATCTTTATTCCATGAATATACCAAAATGTCATCAATTAAGACAATAACAAATTGATCTAAATACTAGTGGAATATCCTATTCATTAAATCCATAAATACTACAGGAGTAATTGTTAATCTAATGGGCATTACTATGAACTCATAATGACCATAGAGGGTTCTAATTGTTGTCTTTGGAATGTCATCTGCCTTCACCTTCAACTGATGATAGTTGACCTCAAATCAATTTTGGAAAATACTATTGCGCCCTTCAACTGATTAAAGAGATCTTCAATCCGAGAAAGGGGATATTCCTTCTTCATTGTCAATCGGTTCAGTTTCCTATAATCGATACACTATCTAATTGAACCATCATTCTTTTTCACAAACAAAATTGGGGCACCCCAAGGAGATGTACTTGGTTGGATGAAACCTTTATCTAACAACTCCTGCAACTGTATCTTTAATTTTTGTAGTTCTTTTAGCGCCATCTTGTATGGAGCTTTAGACACTAGAGTTGCCCTAAGCATGAGGTCAATTGTAAACTCCAATTGCCTATCAGGTGGTGCGCCAAGTAAGTCATCAGGAAATATATCAATGAAATCCCTTACAAGCGGTACATTACCAATAGTAAGCTCCGATGCTGAGTTCCATAGATACTCACTAGAAATCCTTGGCAAGATCTTTTTTTTTTAACGTCTTTTCTGCCTTCATGGCCGATACGAGTCAAGGTAAAGACTTAACTTGTACAGCAAAAAATCGAAACTCATCATCCCCGAGCCTCTAAAACACTACTTCTTTTTTGAAACATTGAATGGTCACGTGATTGCTTCTCAACCAATCCATTCCTAGAATAACGTTAAAGTCTTTCATGTCTAAGAGGTGTAGATTAGCTATTAATTCTTTTCCTTCCATTACTAATTTTACTGCCCTAGCGATCTGATTGGTATTCAAAATTCTACCAGATAGGATGGAAATTTCTATAACACTATCAAATATTTCATATGTAATACATGATTTAGCAATAAATGCGGTGGAGATAAATGAATGAGTCGCTCTGGAGTCTATAAAAACATATGTAGGTAGTTTAGATATTGATAGAATACCTGCCATTACATTCGGATCATCTGTTGCCTCTTCCTGAGTTAAAGCAAAGACTTTGGCTTTCACTTTCTTGCCCTGTTCATTATCCTTCTTAGATGGGTATGCCTTATAGTCTGGAGCAAAATGACCTTTTTGGCCACATCGATAACACACATTTTTTTCCAAACATGCACTCTTTTCCATGGGCATTGTTGCACTTTGGGCATCGTGGAGTAACTTTATTTGGTTTACTTGATCCTGATCTTGTATTGGACTTCTTAAATTGTCCAAATCCTTTCCCTTTATTCGATCCATTCCACTTTCTTTTTCCATACGATTTATTATTCTTCTCAGTCATCCGACCTATTTCTAGACGATCAGAAATTGACTGCATCCACTGAAGTACTTCACTTTAGGTAGTCGTATGGTAAGATGCCATGATTCCTCCAATCTCTGGACGCAGACCTAATTTGAACATCCTAGCCTTCTTTGGCTCAGTATTGACAAGGTGTGTAGCATACCTAGAAAGTTGTTCAAACTTTCTTTCATACTCATCAAGTGACATATTTCCTTGTTTCAACTATAGGAACTCTGCCTCTCTCCGATCCCTTAGTGATTGGGGAAAGTATTTTGTCATTACTTTTTCCTTGAACTATGCCCAAGTCATAGGATGTTGCTGTGCTTCCGTTTTAGTGTGTGATGCAGACTCCCACTAGTGATCTGCTGCTCCAACCAGCATAAATTCAGCACATGATACCTTTTGTGCGTAGTGCATACCATGTGTTTGTAGATTTATTCTAACCTCGTAACCATTCCTTGGCTGCCAAAGGGTTTGCCTTGCCGTCAAAAGAAATAGGCTTGAAATGACGAAACTGCTCCACAATTGAACTTGTGTTGTTAGCATTTGTCAGTCCATTCTAAGGAGCTGGTGCTTGTGCTTGATTCCTACCAAGGTTCAATGCCCTCATCAATCCCTAAACATAGTTGCTTGGTCATGTTGTCCCGCCATTTCCATTAAATTAACAAAATAAATTTTGTCTTAGAAATATTGGACAACACAGTAGCTCAATATGTTCAAAGGAAATTAATTTCTTTTATTAATACTATTCCTTGAAATCAGGATATATAATAGTTAGACATATTTTCTTTTTATATTTCCAATAACATAAAGGTAAAAATATCACAGTACTAAGGAAATGGAATATAAGTTTCTAATCCCTATGAATTCTGTGAATCTTCTTTAATGGAGCTTTATCTTCGGAGGAGTCTTCTGCCTAAAGCCTGGACTCCACATCCATCTCAACCAGTGGCTAAGGTTTATGCTCATGGTCATTCTCTAAATCCAACCCAAGGTCATTCCCATGCTCCCATTCGGGATCTTCCTTTGGGTCCGATTCAATTTGAGGTTCTGGTTCTGGTTTTGGCTCTGGCTCTGGCTCTGGCTCGGGGTCAACCTCAACCTCATCATTGAGCTCATTCCCTATCTCTGGTTGGGATTCTAAGCTTTCACTCCACCATCTAGAAGCGTCTGACAATATATACCAAACTCAATCGTGTTTTGATGCTCTGGGAGGTTACCTTCTAACATCTCATCCCTAACCAAAACTCCCATGTCTTGAGGTGGAAGTGAGTGTATGAGATTATTCACAGCCTCGATATGAGGGATCTCCAGTCCTGTTCCACAGTTGCCATACATCTTTCATAGATGTCTTACAAGTGTTCGACAAGTGGATGAGTCAAGTCAATCATATAATTCTCATAAGACTAAATGATGGACCTACAGTTCAGTGCTGCTCTACAAGCCCTGGCCTTTCTAGCGGTCTGATAAGTTCTAACCATGTCTGTCACATAAGGGTCCAATTATATTTATTTTTGTAGTGATATCAAAGTATATGTTATGCTCTCGTGGTTTTAATAGAATTGCTAATTAATATACCTTCATGTATAATAAAATAATAGCATGCACAACATATTTCTTTATAAACATTCATTTATAATCATTTCATAGAATTCAAGCTTAAATGATACATAAAATCATGCTTGAAAATAAAATGAAACGTAACATTTTCCTCCATACTTTTGAGTTCATCGGATGGTTAGTAGATTGATGAGTGTTAAATGCCATGGGTCTTATTTTAAAATATATTTTTTTCAAGAGAAAAATATTATCACGTAGATGATTAGGATTGTCATTGTTTAAGTTTATTAAATTTTCTTATGACACCACACTACTAATCCATATCAAGACTAAAATTCTATGATTAGGTTTTTCACACACTTCCCAACAAAATCAAAATCTTTGACCACTATGTACCTTGTATGAAGTTGGTAACAATGATTTAAATTTATTAATACTAATATCACATTGGTAAAAAAATTTACATTTAGGTAGAAACATTTACCTTCCATTAACCATGCAGTTAAGTCTCTTTTTGAAAATATTAATTTAACATTATTTAGAAATTAAATATTTTAATGGTTTATTCAACGTAAATTCAATAAATTTTCAAATGTCATAATCGTAACAATTTAACAGAATAGGAAATAAAATATCCTTTTTTTTTAAAACAAAATCATAAGGCATGATCTAA